TTTCAACGCGAACCGACCCGACCCGAACCGACCGAATATAGTGCAATACTACCCATTCTGATATCAAACCCTACCTGACACGTCCCCAAAGAGTCAAAGACTCAAACCCTAAACTCATTTTCCGAATCGTTATGGGTTGAAAACAATATCATTATATCAATGTTTAATGCTTCATAATCTCCTACTTTGTTGATATCTTTTTTTCTTTAACACAGTTCGTTGTTTGATAAGAAGTTGAATGAAGTTAGAACCGAACAAACCGAACCGAACCGTACCGAACCGACTTGCAACAGTTCGGTTCGGTTTTGAATTATAGGCGGTTCGGTTCGGTTGTTCAAATTTTAGTAAAAACCGAACCGAACCGACCGTTGCACACCCCTACTTAAATAAGAGAGGTCGCTATCAGAGAGTTTTGAGTACTTTGAGAGGGATTATTTGTAAGTGAGTGAGATCTTGTTGGTAAGGGTTATTTTGATTGTTTGAGAGTTGTAACCCATTGTATGTCTTCTCCATATAGTGAAATCTCCCCATCCTCTCCCCGTGGACGTAGGCATCTCGCCGAACCACATAATTCTCTGTGTTTGTGATTGAACTTGGCCATCTATATTGTGGATTTTGTTCGTTGTGTCCTCCGTGCATTGCTTGCCGACTCGTTGTGCATTGAGCCCGCTTTCGTCAGACACAACAATTTTTATATGATGAATTATGTGGGTTTAAAAGTGTAATTGTAGGCTGTCTAAAATTTACTACAGATAGCTGATCCCCATCAAACACCAATGATAGAAGTTACAATTTGACGGCTTTCAGAAGACTACAATTTAAAAACTTTCATGTAAATCGATGAAGGTTATAATCTGATAACCTTCACTACAACCGATGAAAGGTCTAATTCAACAGTCTTCATAATCAATACCGGGAGTTACAGTCTGATGACTCTCATATTTTAAAGGAGTCAAGACGAAGATGATAAGATGACGATCTTTGCAACGCTCTAGCAAAATAGATTATAAATTGACAGTCTCTTCAAATCAAGACGCAGAGCTCACCTCTACGTCCCAGATTCAAAATGCAGAGGTCATGTCCGCGTTTTAGATTCAAATGTAGAGGTCGTGGCTGCATTTCAGATTCAAAACGCAGATGTTGTGGTCGCGTTTCAGATTCAAAACGCAAAGTTTGTGGCCACATTTCAGATTCAAAACAAAGAGGTCGTGGCTGCATTTCAGATTCAAAACGCAGAGGTCGTGGCTGCATTCCAGATTCAAAACGCAGGGCTCACCATTATGTTTCTAGCCACCAGTGCGGAGCTCAACTCTGCGTTCTAATCCCAGAATGCAGAGTTCGTGCCCAGAACACAATTCTTGTGTTTGACTCGTCTAAATACGAGCTGAACGGTTTCAAAACCGTTTTCCACGACTTGAGGGGATCGCTCCCACACTTAGAAGTGAATTAAGGGGGGCAGTTACACCCCCTTAATCTCTTATAAATACCAGAAACTCAATTGAGTTCGTGATCTTTATCTTTTTTGGAGATCTTCAGATTTGGAGGCTCTTGGAGATCATCTTCATCGGTAACAGAGAGGATCAGAGCCGGGGGAAGGAGGCGATCTTGAAAAGAGGGGCTTTGGCAGAGGCTTTTTGAGATCTTCGGTTATCTTGGAGCTTCGGCAATCTTGAGCGATCATCCTTGGAGATTCTGAAGCTTTGGAGTAAGATCTTGGCTATAAACTGATTTTCGGTTAAGTCAATTCAACTCTTTAATAGAGTTTGCAACTCGCTATGAGTTCATTAACTCGTTAAGAGTTATAAACCGATTTTCGGTTCAAATCAACTCTTTTAACAAAGTTTAAACTCACACTGAGTTATTAAACTCGTTAAGAGTTATTTTCAAACCTGCCACGCAAGTTCTCCTCAACGTCAACCAAGAGGAAGATCTGTAACAATAAAAAATAAAAACATTATAACATTTAAAATCAAGATTACTATAGCAGAGGGAAAAAAAAGATAGGTCGTGCTTTGCTAGTTGTTCACCCTAGTTAAGGACAACATAAGAAGATTGTTCGGACAAATTTTCAAAACCGACCACTTTGGGTTGTAATTCATTCTTTTTCTAAGTCTGTTAGAGAGAATAATACAAATTTAATTCTCCATTTTCTTCTTTCAATTTTCCCAACAAACAATAACTTTGTTATAACATGTTATTATGCATGGACAAATTTTCAAAACCGACCCCTTTGGATTTTTAATTGCAAAAAACGACCCATTTCAATCTTATTTATAAAAACCGACCCAGTTGGTTGAAACTGGGTCGGTTTTTAAAAAAAAAATTCCCAAACTTCACGGGAGTTCAACTCCCGTGAAGTTTTGTTATGAGAAAAACTTCACGGGAGTTCAACTCCCGTGAAGTTTCCCCAAAAAAATTACAAAAACCGACCTGTTTTCAGCCCCTGGCTGAAAACAGGTCGGTTTTTGTAAATATTTTCAAAACCGGTTGTTTTTTGCAATTAAAAACCCAAAAAAGTCGGTTTTGAAAATTTGTCCAAGATTGTTCTTATAGAAGAAATATATTTAGAAACATCTATATATCCACTAGAACCTCGTGAAATAAGGATTGTGGGGCCAACATCTAGTCAAAGATCGTGAGGTGGGCGTTGAAAGACTTGGGTCCTAGTTATTAATATATATATATATTGTATATCTTTAGCATGGGTACTAGATTTGACAAAAATTACAATAAAGTTTAGACATAAATAATCTAGAATGAGAAAAGCTCACACGGTAGGTGTGCCCAAAACCAAAAGTACAATGGTCAAGGTTGTTCGGAGACCACGATGTTGAATGAGGGGGAGAAATAAAGAAGCTTCCGACAAACTTCGTAAGAACATGGATTACAACCAAAAACAGTTGATGGCCCAGCGATTCTAGTGTTGGCTCAAGTCAATCTTGTACAAATTCATGCGCAATTAAAATTATGATCTACATAAATACATTTTAAAGGAATCTATCTATGTATAAGTGAGGCAAATTTTTTTTTTTTTTTTTTGATCTGTAATATGAGAAATGAAAAGGATATATATTGCGTCAAGACGTCCTCGCATTTTAATATGGGGTTTAACATATATCCCTATATGTTTCATTTGTCTTTTTTGCATGCTTCATCTTTATCATTGTACGTTTATCAATGAAGGTTTGTGACGAAGGTAAATGTTATGTCGGAAATAGAAAATGAAATTAATTAATGAAACTTGTGATTAATTTGTAGTGTTTAATGAATTGATAGCTTTGATGCATATAGTAAATAAAGTCTCTTTTTTTCTCTCTAAATAAAGCACTTTCTAACTCTCCACTGTTATCGATGTTACGATAATATCAGATAGTTTGATTTTGTCAATAACTTCATCAATATTTGAATTTTTCAATATAAAATTGCATATTTCAAAGGTAGCATAGTACTACACCGACCATACTCAAACTCGAAGATGGGTAAATTATATTATCCATAGTTTTTAAACTCGGGCTACATTATCCAATACATATATAATCACAAATTTTTTTTACCCGGACGCCTAATCCTTGAAAATACTCCCCATAGACTCAATCTCACCATACATATAACCCAACTTCAGCATTTTGCAATAAACCTCCAATAACTTTCAAAATCACAATAGCCCCCACCCCCAATAACTTTTGCAGAAAGCTCTCAAATATCTTTTGGGTAAATTACAGTGAACCCAAAATAACGGTCAGAAATGCCATTTCTGTGTTGTTTTTTTTCCCCTCTAATTTACAGGGTTTATCTGCAAAACATGGAAAAATATCAGGGTTTGTTGCAATTTCAAAAAAACGATTGGTACTTTAGTGCAATTTTGAAAGTTTTCCAGGGGTTTAATGCAAAACCCTGAAAGTTCTTGGAGAACCTAGTGTAATTTATTACCTTTTAATTTATGAGTGGTGTTAGGGGCACACCCCCTACCACACCACCAACCACACCCACTCTCCCATCGCTACAGTAAACCGGGCCCCACATGGGATTTTAAAAATTTTAAAATCCCATGTGGGGCCCGGTTTACTATAGCGGTGGGAGAGGGGATGTGGTTGGTGGTGTGTTAGAGCATCTCCAACCACAAAACCCAAAATGGTGTAGTTTTTACATCAAGTTGGTGTAGTTTTTACACCAAATCACTATTCCATCTCCAACCCATTACACCAAATTTTACACCAAAAAGAATATTCCTTTTATTATTCTTATCTTTTAACATTTTATCTATTTAAAATATTTAACAAATTATGTAATTATATAATACATTACATATAATTTATTATAATAATACATTATATAATTAATTTTTATCTAAATGGTGTAGTTTTTCTTATTTCTTTTTTAATTTTATTTTAATAATTATTTTATACTCTAATTTTATTATAATAATTAATATAAGTTAATATATATTATTAATATAAATATAAAAAACAAAAGCAAAAAGAATAAAATTTAGAAAAAAAAGCAAAAAGAAAAGAAAATATGAATAAAAGAATAAAGTTTAAAAGAAAAAAAGCAAAAAAAAAACCTGCGCTATCGCCTAGCAGTGTTGCGGCCATTTCTGCGCAACACTGTAGCACCCCGCTAATTTAGCGGGGTGTTGGCGCCTCCATTGGAGCGCCAAAACATTCCAAAATGGAGTTTTGGCGCTCCATTGGAGTTGCTCTTAGGGGGTGTGCCCCTAACATATTTTAATTTATGTATGTAATGTGATCGAGAACACGCATGCTTTCTGCTCTGTCCTTGTCTCACTTTCCGAGTCGCTTCCCTCCATTTCTTACGAAAATAATAATAATAATAATAATAATTATCCATTAAATAGTTTTAATTGCTTTTCTTTTTGCACAAGCATCCCTCCAAAAAGTTTCCAACTCAGACGCCAGCCGTCAGGCTCTCTCTCGTCCCCTCTATATAAACAACACCCTCCCCCCTCCTCGCTTCTCCTCTATTCCATTCTACTACCTTCTTCAAATCCAAGCAAATCCAGGGGTGGTGGGGGAAAAAAAGGAGTAAAAAAAAAAAAAAAAAAAACAAGGCCATGGGTTACTTGCTGAAGACCGACACCGACGACAACCTAATCTCGCCTTCGCGAGATGCTCATCGACTTCGTTCCACCGTCGCCGGTCTCCCTCGGCCGACGCCCCCGCTTCGTCAAAGCCCCGCGGGGCCCCCGCCCACGTGGCCATCGCCGTGTCCCGCCTCGGCGGGCGATCGGCGCTTCATCGGGAAGCTCGGCGACGACGACTTCGGCCGCATGCTGGCGGGAATCCTGAGGGAGAATGGGGTTGACGACGGCGGGGTCGTGTTCGACGGCGGCGCCAGGACGGCGCTGGCGTTCGTGAGCTTGAGGGAGGACGGGGAGAGGGAGTTCATGTTTTACAGGCATCCTAGCGCTGACATGCTGTTGGATGTTCGGAGCTTGAATTTGGATCTCATTAGAAGGTAATATATATAGCTAGATCTGGTAATAATTGTTTTTCCACCCCCCTTTTGTTTTTTTGCTTCCCCTCCGTTTTTGTTAATTGTGTAGAGATCCGGTAGAGCTTACGATCTTTATTCCTGTTATTTTGACTTTGAATTCAACAACCACCCAATTTTACTTCCACCAACCTAAAATACTGTTCCGCGAAGGCTATAAATAGAGGAGGGGGATTAGAGCATCGAACATAAATTTAGAACATAGAGAAGAAAGCTAGATTTGAAGAGAAAAGGAAAAGAGAGAATATTTGAGTATTCTCTTCTTTGTGTGAGTTTAGTGAGATATTAGAGTGATCTTCCTTTGTAATCTTCTCTTTTGTGATTAGTAAAGTTCTATGATGTTCTCGCCCTTGGACGTAGGTCATATTGACCGAACCACGTTAAATTCTTATGTGTTGTTCTCTTTGTCTTCACTGTGTTTATTCAGTGTTGTTATTCTTCACTCTTGTATAAACATCTTCTGTGTCTGTGAAGCCTCCCGCTGCGACAATTTCTATAGACATGGGCATACTATGAATAATGTTAGATTATCCGAAAAATTTTGGTGCGGATGGCGCTTATGCTTTCTTTCAGTGTAGTGTGTCATTTTAACGTTTAATCTACGTCAAACAGCTATGATCGATCTGAGCATCTTGATGGTTTAAAACTGTGATGTCTTCGGTTAGCAAAACATTAGTCAAAACTGTGTGTGAAAACACACCAATCTCATGCATATTTGTATTTGTAAAAGATCACTGCACGTTTGAATATAGTTTAGTCCGCTTAATATGATTAAATAACTAGGCGTGATTTCACAAAATTTCGGGTTCCATAACACCGTGACAGATTGTTTCAATATACATTAAGTTTTGGCCCAGCATTGAAGGTTTGCTCAACTGTTGATTTCTGATGAACACAGAGAATCATGTTGTTCCAAAGTAATGGTAATTAACTCGGCCTAAAGGAAGCAAACAAAAGATGAGATGGTTTATACTATTTACATTTTTATTTTTGGACACATTTAAGCAAATAGACGGTTCGTAGGGGGGTCCCACGCAAAATTTCAGGTTGCAATGCGGTGGAAGGACCGAGGTTGGAGACCGTTTAGCTCTTTGGCTCCACGTGCGTCTATGTTGTTTATATCTCTAAAGTCAGATTTATGAATCTAATACAACAGCTAATTCATTTTATCTGTACATTAGTTGGCCCCAGGTTTTAGTTTCGTTGGTTTATAATTTTCGAAGAAGTCACAAGATTTTGATGTAACCAATGGCCAATTTTCAGTCAAAGACGTTTGTATTCATTTGTAACAAATTGCCCAGTATAATAATTACTTATATCGATGGATGAATGCTCAGGGTACAATCTTTCACTACGGCTCAATCAGTCTGATCGCAGAGCCATGTCGGTCTGCCCATCTAAAAGCCATGGAGGTCGCAAAAGCAGCAGGAGCTCTCCTCTCCTACGATCCGAACCTGCGAGTTGCCCTCTGGCCATCGCCAGAGGAGGCTCGGACCCAAATCATGAGCATCTGGGGCCAGGCTGACATTATCAAGATCAGCGACGTAGAGCTGGAGTTTCTGACCGGTCATGAAGGGGTTGATGATGATGTGGTGATGAAATTGTGGCGTCCAGAGACGAAGCTCTTGTTGGTGACCCTCGGAGCCAACGGTTGTCGATACTACACCAAGGTAAAAACTCTATGGATTGTTTCGTTAATTTCTTATTAAATGACACGAGAGAATTCTTTGAGCTTATACATGCATATAGGATAAATTGCAATATATATATACCCGCTAATTGCAAATAGACCCACCCACTGTAGTTCTAGACCCTGAGTGGAACTTTTGACTATTTTACTCTTGAGAGGAAGAGAAAACTGTTTTTTTACAAATAGACCTCCTAGGGGTAAAAGAGTAAAAAAAATGCAATCAGGGGTCTATCTGCAACAACAATAGAATGACATGAGGTCTATCTGCAATGCTATAGTAAAGGGGTTTTATCCGCTTGTTAACCCATGCTCTTATGTATATGTAGTGTGCACAATTGAATTTTACTGATAATTGTAGTTTTCCATTTGAACTCTCAGGATTTCATAGGGACCGTAAAATCAATTGCAGTCAAGCCAGTAGATACAACGGGCGCAGGCGACGCATTTGTTGGTGGAATGCTCCATAGAATCGCAGCAGATCGATCTGCATTGCAAGTAAGTTCAATATAGAAACAATCAAAAAGTTCAGAAGAAGTATGAATCCAATTTAGTTTTTCCTCAACTAATGGTGTTTTACGATGAATTTGCAGGATGAGAAGAAATTGAGAGAAGTGTTGAGATTTGCAAATGCTTGTGGAGCCATTACCACCACAAAGAAAGGAGCAATCCCCGCAATGCCAAATGAGGCAGAAGCTCTGGCGTTTTTGGCAAGGGTTTAAAGGAATCAAACATGTCTTTAACATTCCTTCATGTGTTCTTATAGCTTGTTGTAATTTAGGCCAATCATAAGTTTTAATCTTTGCACCTTTCTCCCTTTATGTTTTTCTGTCTCTTGCCTCTTTTTTGGGCCAAAAGAATGTGCAGCAGATCAAAATGTAATGTATAATGAAACATAATTTTGGTTCAATCTACATTATTCTCAACCTCATTTGAGTTTCTTTATCCCTGCTGTTCGTACAAATTATTATGGCTCCTCTCTCTATTGGCAAAGTGATTGTTGTGGATGCTCTCATGATTCACCTATTGAATTGAACAAAATAAAGAGTGGTACTCAATCTAATGCGATTTGATGCTTGAAGGAACAATAAAGCCTGAAAGCAACTGATAATCAGTATAAAATTTCCATGTAGTAGGTGGCACGTAAATGACAAACTAGTGAAAATCCTAATGACTGGTTCAACCAAAAAGCTTTTTTCATATGAGTGCAAAATTTTGTTCCAGAAATGTGGGGAAAAAAGGAAAAAAGTGTAATACATATATAAATAATAGCTTCAAGCATACATTAGAAGACACAGAATTTCATAATATCTCATCACAAAATTTTCATTCAGATGCTATAGCCAAACAATTAATTTGAAGATGAATAGATACACCATAACCTATATATGCTTCTCTACAAAGTTAAATGATACAAGCAGAAAAATGGACATATTTGGTCTACTACACACTACGTGCAGAGTGTGTGCGCCCCGGTGTGTTTTTTTTTTTTTTTTTGGGGGGGGGGGTGCGCGGGGCGTCCAAGGGTTAAAGATTCAGTATGAACTAATGATTCAGCAGATTCCAATATTAAAGTAAACAGAGAATAATTATTTGAAAAAAACAATAATTTTTATGGCAACTTTCAACACGATAAACAATGGCATGAATGTTTAAGGAATATAGGATGCAATGTGACATGCTGAACTGTAGTTTCACACGGCGAGGCTCCAATTTCTGCATATACCCCCCCCCCCCCCCCCCCCAACTTGGAAAATTGAGGCCTCTACCTTAACTTCCTCCTGAAATATTAAGGATGCTAATAAAGAATGTGTAACCCGGAATAATTTCTTGTGTGATTCTAACAAAGGAAACTGAGTAGATAAGAAGAGCTCAAGAGAAAATACACTAAACCTTTAAATAAATAGCATGTACATGGTCTGCCCGAGCCATGAAAACTTCCGTTCTTTTGTTGGATAATTGCACCCATAATTACCTAGTACCTCCACAAACTCCTGCAAAGCCACATTCAGATATCGGATCGTTAGATTTGAACACTCCATAAGTAAAAATCATGTAAACTGGTATACACATACAAGATGGAAGTGTAAAAATCATGCTAATTTTGGCTGCTTTTTGTGAACAAATAAGTGTTTTTCTTTGACATGTTTCTTACACACCGTTACATTCCCTAAGTATGCATTGGTGCTAGTGCACTAATTAAAAGTATCAAGAATTAGAAAATGCTGAGAAACATTTGGTAGAATTCAAAGGTCAGCTAGAAGGTGGAGAAACCGGTATAGAACAGGAACAAGAGTGTTTAAGATATTGCATTATTTTCACCGCAATGGTTAAGAATCCTCATCATATATTCTTGCATCTACATCTTTAAAACTCCAAATCATCTTAAGTTGTTAAATCAAAGATAGAATCTAAAATCAATGAGACCTGCCAACATATGTGAAAGTTCGAAATGTTTAAAAAAGTTGCTGGTATCAATCCAGAAGCAGCAAGTAGATGAGAGCATCACAGTGAACAAAGAAAAGAATGAAGTTTTCATTTAGGTACCCCAACAGAACCAGAAAAAACCTTAAATTACTGAGGCCCACATGTAAAGGGTAAACGGAACCGTACAGAATAAATTCATACAAAGTCGTTTTAATAGATATAACTATAGATCAGCATCTTACAGTGCAAATAACATCTCGAGAGAAGACAACCAACCAAGTTGATAATGCTCATGAAGTCCTGCTAGAATCACCCAGCACCAAGCTGCCGCCATGATTTGTGTGCATCACATGAAACAACTAATGGTTTAGGATAATTTTATTCCCAAACAATGAAGTAATTGAATACTATGTGGGAGAGGAAAAAAAGAACGGCTATGAAAGGAATCACATAGTACTTGAACAAGAGTATCTTGGTTATAGAACTGTCAATTAGAAGGATCAAAGTTCAGAATAAAACTAACTGAAGAATAATCAGAATTAAGAACAATCCCAATTCCTGGAAAGAATCCATGTCTTTTAAAAAATCTTCATTAAGGAGACTCAAAGTATATGCTAGGGTGTTCTTAATTCATATGCTAGGGTGTATTTAGAAGAAATGGGTTTTTAGCTGGGATGCATTTGGATGTCTAACGAAACCATAAAAGTATATTTGTAGATATTGAAAAAATATAATGCATGACATATTTTCAGGTGAATGCTTGGATCGGTAAGACCGTAAGAGGATATGGAAATATCCTTAAGTGAAGATTTATATTATGAATATAAAATTTCAATTTTCTTGATTACAACTTCTTAGGACAGGTTGGGTTGCCTTTATATTTTTTCAAACGAATCAATCAATAAGGTCAAGGTGTAAGTTCCAAATATGTTAAAACCCAAATGCCAGACTTTTTCTATCAAAAAAAAAAAAAAATCCAAACGCATCCTTAATTATGTAAATATATTCATCTAAAAAGAAAGGAAAAAAGTTGATTTTATAGCAGCATGCCATCTTTTTCACTTTATCTAGGTTCCTTCTAGATTGAAGAGATCTAAGAGTAGCTCCTTAGCTATTCGAACTTAAACTAGTTAAAAAAGATGAGTCATTTACTTGTCAAACGGCGCCACAAAGGATTTCTAGCACGATTCTCTATATCTCTTATGCAAGAAGCACTCGCCATTTCTTAGTCTATAGATGGTTGGCAGCAAGGTCCTATCTAATCAAAAAAATCGAATGACGCATTTGCAAACTTGTTTCTATCTCACGTAAGGCTTTGTAGACAACATCATTTTGATGTGAAGAAGCTTTAAATAACGATGCAATAATTATTGATCCCATTATTTACTTTATAAGTTCATCTTTGTACAAGGATTAATAGAGAAGATGAGACTAAGAAAAATGGTTGCAGCTACATAAAAACTCAGAAGTATGTGGCAGCAAATTGTTTGTGTCTCTACCCTCACGATATGAAAGGTGGTACTAGCATAGAAATAATCAATAAGCATCAGATCAACAGCACATAATGATACAACAATCAGGATGTTAATGTGAAGAAAACTAACCTCTTGGAGATTACTGTACATTGAGAATGTTACATGCCACCAAGAGTTTGTTTCATGTCACAAATAAAGACCTCTCCCTAAAATACTACATACAAACATGAAAGATGCGTAACCAATATTACCACCTTTTTAGTTAAGGAATTTCAGATAAGTTTTTCTAGTCTCAAGGATATCTCCTTCCTCAAGAATAATATTTGTCCAAAAATGAATAACCTCCAAAATAGCAACTATATTAAATTACTATATCTCTAGAAATGCAAAATTAGCAAAATAAACATATTTTTCCTTTCAATATAACAGCAGATGCAGTGGGTAAGAAAAAAGAAAAATGAACTCAGAGATATATTTCAGAGGCATATTGAGTTGTTTTTCCTTCTTTTTTCTTTTTCAATTTAGAATAACTATAAAATCACAGTCTTTCACTATGTGCTGCTCTCAAATGGAAAATTACTGAAAACGTAGTGTTTTAACATTAATTTGACAATCATATCTATTACAGTTCCTTATTTTGTACAAAATTTGGGCTATATTACTCACAATATTCAATCAGAGATGTGAGATTACACACTCATATCGGTTTATCCTCTAAATGATTTTGCAAATATATGTTGCACTGGCACCTACAGAAGTACATAGCTACTATATTACACACCTACACTCCATATTGAATCACGTGAAAGAAGAGAGGAAATAGAACAGAAACCTTTATAATTACTTTCTGAAGTCTTCAATTGATCTCCATCCCAAGCTAATTCCAATATAAGTATTTATCAAAATTATTCTTGACTAGCTCATGCCGCCGCCTGGAGAAATTTGCCTTTCTCCAACCCCAATAATGAATCTCAAATGTACTTAGAGGAGGAGCAGAAAAAGGAAGCTACCATCTCTCATCCCCCACCCAGTTGTTCTTTTCCTTGGGACCAGTTGGTCCTTCCTCTCCATATAACTCAATTGGAAGTTTATCAAAGATGGATTCCACTGAATACCTGAGATTGAGAGGTAAAAACTTGAGAATCTTATCCAATTCGCATTTGGAATTATATTTTATAGTTGGACCCCATTCTCTCATGTATTGCAACCAAGAAGGCTCAGTTACAGCATCACCAAGATACTCTGCTGCAATAATTTGATACTTGATACTAGAATCTACAAAAAAGTTACTTATCTCAGCATCGTTTCTTATACCGATACCAAGTTTTTCAGATCCTTGGAGGTAGCACCCTGCATGTGGAAAACTAGCATGCCCATTTTTTGTTGAATAAACAATAGCTTTGTTATCTTTAATAAACTCCAAGTTGTATGTATCCACCCAAACTCCACCACTGTGCTGAGAAAAATATATACTCCAGAGCTCACCCGTATAGTTACATACTCGGAGAGTGAAGTGCTCCCAATCTCCAACATGTTGCCCAACTTTACTGAAGGGAAAACTTGCGAGACTAATCTTTAGGGTTCCCGGGCCATTAAAAGGGCAAAAGACCCACATTGCAAAATCAGTGAAAGTTCCTCCAATAGCCGGTTTCACATGGACATAGAGTTCAGCACTCTCAATATCTCCACATTTGACTATGTTATTCCGATCATCATCTGGTAAATCTATCCAGTAGTCTCCATCATTTCCTCCACCGTTAGGGAGGTTCGAGCCTTTGGAATCAATAATCTCTCCTGTTTTCTTGCCTTTCTTATATAAAGTAGCACCATTCTTAAAAAACCATGAGACTGATGACGGCAAATATCTCTCTTCAGGATGGAAGAAAACAGTAGGTCCATAATGATTTATCACTGCATGGATCTGGTCCAAATTTGGCATTGCATGAAGAGATGAATCAAGATTATTTAAGCAAGAAATGTTCATATCATCTTTGGAGCTACCACAGAAGAAAGTACCAACTGATACCCCTCTTCCCCATATCCCCCTATGTGCAGGCCTAGTCTTCCACACTCGCAAAGGTGTGTTTAAAAATGATGTTTCCACAATCAACCCATGAGCTTCACATGTATCAGTGAGATCAGCCCGAACACATCTAATTTCTTCAAGTGAGGGCTTACCAGGTTCTCTAGTAACCACATAGCCCATAGCTTTATAGCCTTCAGGGGGACACGGGAGCCAAAAGTAGCCGCAACCGTCATAAGTATCATCTTTACCGTCATCGGAGCTCCAAATGAGTGTGTAATCTATAGGTTTTTGAAGAGCTGGAAGCTTTTCGCCTCTGGAAGCAGTTATCTCCTTGGCAGCAAGAACAAAACCTCGTAAAGGTTGATCAACTGGCTGTGCATAATGACCCAAGCAGAAAAAACCATCTTTAATATCTACAGGTCTACAAAACACAGCCCCCTTAGTGTTCTCACTGAGCTGATAGCACCTCCAAACTCTCTCGAACTTTGTGACTCCTACAATTTCCAGTTCGCCGATGCATATACTTCCCTGACCAAAGCCCTCACCTGCAAGATGGTTAATGAAAGCCTTAGCAAATCCGACGTTAATCATCTAGATTCAAACATTACCTACACAGCTTTAAACTCAAACAGAAATTCTTCTGCTAGTCTGTTAGTTCGTCTAGAAACATACAACATGAAGGAGCCAGCACGGCTCGAGCTATAACGTGTTCAACAACATAGGAATCCTCTATTTTCAAAATTAGCATGGAATTTGAAATTAAACCAAATATCAATAATGGCTGATGTAGTCTTGAATCATACTCATCAAATCTATGAAATAACAGAGGAAACTTCACACATTGGAATCCTCTAGCTAACATATATCAGCATCTCATGCATAAAAATTCAAAACTAATCTAGCCGGAAATAAATTAACGATTATTCAAGAAGATACCCATGTGCAATCATCATAAGGGGAACGTGCTTGACGTGATTCCCTAAATTTTACTGCCTAATTCTATAGCAAAATCCAATATTTTATCAAATTACGCGGAAATGCATCAACATTTCGCGAGATCGACAACAAGATCGCACCTTTAGGCCATTGAGGGATCGGCGAGGGAAGAGAGAAAGGTTCAGGCTCAGTAGGAAAGCGATCATAAACAGCTCCTCCCCTTCCTCGATTCCAACAGAACCATCTCAAGCCATCCATCATCAAAACCCTAACTTTCTCCAAATTGATCCTCTTTCCGATCAATTTGCAATCAAATAGGAAGTCGTCGGAATCTGGGGACCCGGAATTTATGGCGATCGTAGAAAACAAATACCGAATCCAATTATGTTGGAATGGATTTCGAAGCGCACGTGGCTATCATGGCTATCATGGGATCAGACCGCGATTTCGTTAGTTATCCGATATTTCGGTCTTTTTTCTTTTTCATTTTTCCATTTTTTTTGGGAATTTTAGGAGTTGGATATTCATGTCTTTTAGGTTGTTGTCGGCTTTTATGTTGATTTTTGGTATTTGATTTGGGTATTAGTTTCCTCAACTGTTTTCATCACTTGTTTTGAAAAATAAAGACAAATCCACCATGATTGAGAGGTTTTAATATAGCTCTCGGCTCTCACAATCTTAAGTTCGGCCCCAGACTAGATTAGGTTAAAATAACAGATTAGTCTAAAAAGTGACACTCATTTACCGGTTTATTTTAAAAAAGTGACGTCAGGGATAATTTAGCCTAAGGGCTTGTTTGGATTGAGAGGAATAAGGGTGAAGGGAAGTTAGGGGAACCATTCACCTCCATTCACCTTGTTTGGGAACATTTAGGAGGCGAAGTTATTCACCCTAGTTCCCCTTGGTTCACCTCCTAATAGTATAAGAGCCTGTTTGGATTTGTAGGGGGTGAAAGGAAGTTAAGGGAAACTAGGTGAGAGAATGGAAGGGAAGGGAAGGGAGTTCCCTTCTCCTTGGTTACACCCCAATTTAGGGGGTAACAAATTTTATACTATTAGGGGGTGAACCAAGGGGAACTAGGGTGAATAACTTCACCTCCTAAATGTTCCCAAACAAGATGAATGGAGGTGAATGATTCCCTAACTTCCCTTCACCCTTATTCCCCTCAATCCAAACAAGCCCTAAAATTTATTACCCCTCAAATTGGGGTGTAACCAAAAGGAAGGGAACTCCCTTCCCTTCCCTTCTCTTCCATTCTCTCACCTAGTTTCCCATAACTTCCCTTCACCCATTACAAATCCAAACAGGCTCTAAAATATGATAAATGCGATGACAAATGGACATTTCTGATACAGAAGATAAATTTTAAGTAAAAAATTAACCGATTTTTTCATATAGACCCCTTACTCTCTTATATTTTGAGATTTATCTCCTCAAGTTCAAAACTATGCAATAAGAAAAATCTCTCTCTTCCCCACTTTCTACCATCTCCTCCCTCCTCCTTCTAACAATCTCCTTCATTCTTTTCTCATCCCGATCCTCAACCTCCTATCCTTTCTCCCACTTTCTTTCTCCCTCCTTTCTCATATCCTCCATATTACTTCCATATTTCTCTCTTTCTTCAAGCCCACCTCTTCTTACCTTATTTCTCTTCTTTGTTTTTTTTCTCCTTTCTCTCTCTCTCTCTCTCCCTTCGAGCATAATGTTTAATGTTGCGTCTGAGAAAGAAAGAGAAGGAGTGAGAGATACGAATAGGAGAAGGAAGTTGAGTGTTTGATAGAATGTTTAATGTTAGGTCTAAGAGAGGAAGAGGAGGTGGTTGAATTTTTTAAAATGATTAAAGTGTGAAGAGGGAGTGAGCGGGGCAAGGAGGGAGAGGGAGCGGGAGGGTGGAGGGGAGGTTGGGGATTGGGAGGGGAAGAGAATGAAGGAGATGGTGAAAATGAGAAATTAAGAGTGAATATGTGAAATGATGGAGAATGAGTGGGAGAGAGGAATAAAAGTTGGGGATTGGAAGAGAAAAGAATGGAAGAGATGGTGGAAGGAGGAAGGAAAAGATTGTGGGAAGAGAGGTTTTCTTAGTAACAAATTCAAAAAAAAATTTGGGGTTAATCCAATAAAAAACATGAGAGAATAAGAGATCTATATGTAGAAAATCACTCAATTTTTAGTTTAAAAATTGTCTCTCGCACCGAAAATGGCCATTTGTCATCGTATTTATCATTTTTTAGACTAAATTATCATCGACATCACTTTTTAGCTAAACTGTTAAACATATGTAACTTTTTTGGCTAATCTAACATTTTAGCTGACTGGATTACCAAAAAAGAAAAAAAGAAACAGCTTTTGTAAACTAATTAACTGCCATCTTGTTTTGAGAGCACTTATTTTGATCTGCTTTCAGAATACTAATTCCTATTCATGAACTATATTGGACTAGTAAATTAACTATTTTTAATATCTTTTTAATAAGCTTATTTGAATTCAGCATGGTCCATAGATCAAATTTCCAATAAATTATCTATATAACCCTCACATCTATAAAACTTTCAATTTATCTTTCCATTCTTTATTTATATATACATAATGCCAAAATCATTAGAACTCATTAGATTACTCCTTACACTTAATCTTTGTTAATTGTAAACCGAATCACAAAATCATTCCCATTCTGTATGTTCTCCAAAATCCTTTCCCATTTCGCCTATAGCAAACTGTCAACAATTGTTAACCAAGGATAACAACATTCTAGTATTCTCGACGGTGGCGGAGCTAAGAATTTTATCTTGGGCGGTCTAAGAATCCACGAAACATAAGTATATGGGTAATAATCAATTAGCTCAATTATTTTTGGGATTTTTTTAGGCTTAGTTAACATAAGTATATAGTTTCTCCTAGTTTGCATTTATGTATCCTCACTTCTTTTTTACAGCACTTATACACCCCAAAGTTTTTTAAATTTGCACTTCGATGCCCTCAACCATGCAACTTATACACCCCAAAGCTTAAATTTGCACTTTAATACCCTCAATGATGCAACTTATACAACCCAAAGTTTCAATACCCTCAATTATGCATTATATCCACCCTAAAGTTCAAATTTTTTACTTTAATATCCTCAATTACGCAAATATTAGACACCTTCCCCCAAAAAATTTTGTGCAACACTCACATAATAATTTTAATAGAATTTAAATCTTAATAATTTTTAATTTATTGTTAAAATGATCAAAATACTATTTTAAAATATAATTGGGGTTTGCTAAAAAAGAATTATGATAAGTTTAAAAGTAATTAAAAAAATTCTACAATTAGCGTGTGCCACATGAGAATTTCCTAACGGAATTCCCACGTTCGCATAACCTAAGGTATGAAAATGTAAATCTAAAATATTTAGAGTACATACGTGCCGCCAAAAACAAGTACGGGTATATATATGAGAAGTATGAGAATTTATAGGGTATTTAAGTGTAGTTAAGCCATATTTTAAAGAAGGCCAGCTAATTATTGTATGTATAAATATGTAAATTAGTTATATACGACCGCTGTATATACGCAAATTCCAAAAGTTTGGTGAGACCAAACCAAGCCAAAACTTGTATCTAGCTCCACTCCTGACTCAATAAACGAATGTTGCACCTGATGCACACATGATGTATTTGGACATTTTCATTCTCATACAATATCATTAACTATATCAGGACAAATTTCTAATAGTATTTGAGACTTAACATCATTAAGACAAAACTCTAATATAATATCTAGGTTTTTTAGTCCCTGCTCCTTAACATCTGTAGTAATTACATATCAGACCTTCAATCCTATAAGTCCAGCAAAATGGTCCCTCAGTTGATATTTCAGTTAAAAAAAATCTAATTATGGTTGGATTAACTCCTAAACCAACAACAATCACCAAACCGCCCCTTTCTCTAATGTTTCGAATCTTTATGTAGTTCAACTTTGGGTTATGGTTCTTTTCTTACCATTGAAGAATAAGAGCCCAAGTGAATTTGGGTTTTTCTAGTAGATACTGAATTTAAATTATCCCTAAAGAAAAGGAGTGGGGAACATAATAGAGGGGCAAATGGTCAATTTACCTCTAGTTGTTAGATTTGATGGAATATTCCCCTAAAATCTAGTGTGAATTAACTTAAAGGACAATTTTGCAAGAATCTATATGATTTAAGGAACTAATATGCACTTTTTAAGTTTTGAGGGACTAAGAAAAATATTGCATAAATTATTGGGGTTTTCCAAGACTAACCCCTCATGCGTTTGAAAGTGGTCCGTCAAATCTTCATATTCTAAAGCGGTCCACTAAATCTTTAAGTATTTTAAAAGTAGTCCACCAAAACTCGATATTTTGAATTAGTCCCTCAAATCATTTGAGCATTTTCAAATTAGTTCCTTAACCTTCACCAATTGGAAACTAGAAGGGCTGATTTCAAAACATTTAAAAAGTTTGGGGGGCTAATTTCAAAATATGAAGATTTAGGGTACTATGTCAAAATACTTGAAGATTCGATGTACTGATTTCAAAATATCAAGACTAGGGACAAATCAAAATATTAAAAGATTTAGGAGACTAGTATCGAGAAAACCTGAATTAGGTTTTGCTCATAAAACGGTCATAAATTAATTTTATTAAGAAGAAATTTGCAAAATAGACCTATTTTGCTAAATATTTAGCAAAACAGACCGTTTTGCTAAATATTTAGCAAAACTGACATCTTTTTGGCCAACAGGTCAAAAAGAGGTAGATTTTGCAAAACAGACCATTCGAAACATACGAGACTACTAGTCCTGTTTCGAATGGTCTGTTTTCCAAATGGACCTCTTTTTGGCCTGTTGGCCAAAAAGGTCTGTTTTGCAAATTTTTCCTTTTATTAATGATAATATTATGGGGTTTTCATATGAGTCCCTTAAATCATATCTATTTTGCAAATTTTGTATTGATCCCGTAATTTGCAGTAAGTTGTTTATATTGGTCTCTCTGTTAACTTTTCAATTAAAAACACGCAACTCTGGTTATGTTAGTATATTTTTCTCTGAGAGAATGACTGTGAAGTATATATGATGGAACCAAAATGATGAAGATATTAGAGTGTCAATAGACATTCAGAGACACTTAAAATAAAAGCCCATAACTTTACCGTGGAGGAAAGATGAAGATGAGATTGAGTTTTTCCCCAATGAGTTCGGGTTCATTAGGTGTGGGCTTGGATTTTGTTATGAAGGACATAACTGTTTATTAGTTAACGGAATATTCCCTTTTATTTTTAACACCAACTAACCATAGCAAAATATGGAGATTTGAGGGAACAACATCAAAATAGGTATGATGTAAGGGACTAAGACCATCTCCAATGGCTAACAATTGGGTATGTTATTTGGTGCAATGGCTAACAATTGGGTAGGCAAATGAAAAGTAGGAGAGAGAAAAAGCAAAATTTGCCTACCGGTTAATTTACTCCAAGGGTACGGCTTGTCAGCAGCTGCCTTAAAAAAATAACAAAAAATGCATTACTTCAATCTCCTTGCGCCACGTCAGCGAAGCTGGGACATTGAGATGGACACAGGCGCGTGTCCATGTTCACAAAAGAGAATGTCTTTTGTTTTTTTTTTGTTTTTCTTTTGTTTTTCTTTCTTCCATTATTTAAATGACTTTTTTTATATCAATAATTGCTCTAAATTAATTATTTTTTTCACCCTTATTTTTTATTTTTCAAGGTCTATAAATAGAGCTTGAGTTTATTTATTTGGACACAAAAAAAAAATCAAGTTTTTACTCACTTCATTCCTTATATTACCAACTTCCACATTCTCACCCTCTCATTTTTTTCTTCTTCTTCCATCTTCAACATCCTTCATGGATCCTTCAGTTAACTTAAACTTTCTCCCAAATTACAACTGCATGCACTGGCAATGGAAGAATTGTCCTAAGGCTTGGCAATGGCAGTTTACTAGTGGACACAAGGGGACGACAACAGTTATCCTTGAGGCAGTGGCATCTTTTGATTTATGGATATGGCATGCTTTTTTTGGTTTGCCAGGTACATTGAACGACATTAATGTACTAGATAGGTCACCGGTATTTGACGATATTGAGTCCGGTGAAGCCCCGGAGGTGAATTTCATTGTCAATGGGCGACAATACAATCGTGCTTACTATCTTGCAGATGGAATATATCCGAAATGGCCTGTCTTTGTCCAATCAATTCAATTGCCCCAAGGCAACAAAGCGCAGTTGTTTGCCAAACAACAAGAATCATGTAGGAAGGATGTGGAACGCGCATTTGGGGTTCTCCAAGCACGATTTGCTATTATTCGCCAGCCCGCTAGAATGTGGGACATTGAGGTCTTAGGTAAAATAATGAGGGCTTGCATTATTTTACATAACATGATAGTCGAGGATGAACGGGATATATATTTGCGAAACTGGGAAAATATTGACTTCGAACCATCGAACAATGCTAGTGCTAGCTCTAGCTCATCTTTCAATGTCCAAACACAAGTGTTGCCACAATTTGAAGTGCACGTTCTAGCCCGAGCCGAATCGGATATTCATACTAGAGCCGATCTACGTGATAGGGCCAAACACATTCAGTTGAAAAAGGATATCGTCGAGCACATTTGGCAAAAATTTGGAGCAACCTTCGAATAGAAATGTCAAAAACTTTCAATGTTTGGTGTGTTTTTTCTTGCATGTTTAAATAAACTATGTATGTTTGGTGTTTTTTTTCTTGTACGTTTTCAATAAACTAGTTGGATTACACGTGCAATGCACGTGGTAATTTTTTTTATCATTTATTATAAAATTTTAAATTTATTTAGGGAAATATTTGTTATTAAATTATTGAATGTAAGCAATGGGTCAAACATATAGACATAAAATAAAGTCATTGGACCTTACACGACGTCAAACCGAATAAGTTGAAATCTTTTATACATTTGGATATAAGAACTAAGAATCACACTAATAACCTCATTGAATGAATGAGATATTTGGATTGAACATTAAATCTTTTGTGTCCTATAACAAAATAATATGAGCCATATTCAAGATAGAATACAATAGAATTGGTTTAGCAAGCGCAATATGTTTTCAAGAAAATACAAGTCAAGTACGGACCACCTTATATTCAACATAGACAATTGTCTAGCATCGGTTAATTACTATGAAGTCAAGTTCTTCTCATTTATGAATAGCTTCCACTATGTCTTCTTAAGAGAAAGGATTGAGATGTGTTTGTTGGGTGTCATATGAGCCGTGAGGCACGAATCCAGATCCATACTAGATCCATACTGAAGCCCGTATTGAGAACCACCAGCAGCTGCCCCACTTTGAGCCTGCAAACAGCATAATTGGTAACTAAGAAAGGGGGGAAAGTTTTCTCAAGAAAGAAGTATCCATCAACAGGGCCATTTATGCTGGTTACCAATGACCTTAATGTTGTAGCAAGTTTGATACGCAAATTACTAAATCAAGAGACAAAGGTAGCATATAAAAACACTACAGACCTAATGAAAACCATAAACAGCAGCGTACGTATTTCCTCCATATGCCATGTCATTACGTGCATAACTTTCAGCATAGGCTGCACCTAAAAAAACAAAATTAAGGATGAATTAGAATAATGTATGCAAGACTGACCATAAGATAACCTTGTTCACGAAGAAAGAAATCAGATAACAACTTATTGTCTACTGCAGCAGAAGTGAGAATGCAAAACTTCATCTTATATACATGCGTAACAAGAATAACATACTAATACTGGAAACCGTAGTATGAGGTTAGCTTAAATAAATGTGTAGTTAGAATAATTTACTAAATTTATTGATAACAGAAATCAGTCAAACCATAATACCTGGATTGGCTGCAGCTGCAGCGGCACGTGCTCTCTTTTCAGCATTGGCAAGTTCAGCCCGCAGTTTCTCAACCTCACGAGCCATGCTTATCATATTCTTCTCCATTGCTTGACTTTGTTCAAGGTTTACAGCAAGATCCCAACTGAAGCATGAGAATACGTAATCCCACTTTGAACAAGCTCAAATAGTGTGGATCCTTCAGGCATTGCCATGGAATCAACCTCTTTCATCATTCCAACACCGACACCTTCTCCCAAGGGAACAGGCTCAAAAATTTAACAAGGTAATTGTTGTAATTGAGACTTGTTGAATTCCAGAAAATCCTAAATGTCAACACCAATATTAGAAACAGCAGCTTAGAATCAGGGCTTTCTCTAGAAATATAGACCATCAAACTGTATTCTAGAAAATCCTAAAGTACATGCACACACAAAAATTTAGATATTTGCAAGAATACTCCTAATATCAAAGAAAATATTTAACATTTTATCACTGTATTCCACTAATTAATTAGTTGATTTTTCGATTTTTTCCAACTAAATTTGATTATTTAGAGGGTAGCTTTGCAAATAATTGGCAAAATGCGTAACTTATATATTAAGAAGTCAATTTTGTATTATACAACTATACAAGAGATTATTGAATTGTACGACATTGAATCAAAGGTTTTGCTCACCCTTTCATTGTTGAAGACAGAGGTTTTACAGTCAGGAAGGATGTTAACAGACCAAGTAGGAAGATCATAGTGCATCCCATTGAAAGCTACTTTAATTAAAATTTGAGTATCAACTGAAAACGTGAGACTATAACAAGGAATGATGAAGAGTTAGTCTGTAAACCATTTATAAGGATGTTCTACAAAAAGAATATTTGTTTATAGCTAGGCTACATCTTGATTGCTTCCAAGTGATGGCCTAATAGGATTCCCAGAAGCCAAAGCAGGTTCACAGAACTTTATTGCTTTGTTCAAGTCTTTCAAATGGCCGATTTTGGTTCTCTTAACAGACCTATGGAAAAAGAGTTTAAATTTTCAATAGTTGACAGAGAGCAAGGACAAAACGTGATCCCGGATTAAAATGGTTTATGTCATAATTGGTGATATAGTAGTGTATATTAAACATTTATTTATTTGTTATTAATTTCTTAAGTGTTTGCACATTCTCTATTGTAGTCGTTAGTAGTGCAAGAAGATTACATTGTTTAATGTTTAAAGTGTGTTAGTGTATGCCTAATAGGTGTGAACATTGAAATTATCTACCTATAAAGTGTATTTGGTAAGAGACATATCTTCTCTTAACTGCTATAATTTGCCTAATTTAAAAATTACTGCATAGTGACTCGAAGAGAAAGGTGTTAAGTGAGAAAATGGCAAACTAATCATACTTATTAAACAGTGCATAAGATTAATTGACCATATTCATCAATTGGAGCATCATAATCATAGTTTGTAGCTATGAATGGACCACCAGCTGTCTTGTCAAAATTCGTTCCACCATGGTACTATAGTCAAAAAGCAAGTAAGTAAAAGTCACACTTGTGAAACATAGTATTTCGATGAAACACAAATACATAGTACATTAAATCCTCACCATATAGTAGTTGAAATAAGATCCACCTTTCTGTATAAACTTTGCAATAGGAAAGGCAACATCTTCAACGTGTTAATAATGAACTGGACCTCCAAACCCTGTAAATCTGAAATTTATACAAAAGAAAACAAAAGGTTTTGAATTTGGGTAAAAAATAACCATAGCTTCCTAATTAAACTAATGAAAAGTTGCTTATTCTGCTATTCAACCATTATCCATGTATCTTGTAGACCCACAAACACAATCTCAGCAGGGTAGGCTGCTTGCAGCTCTTGTGCTGGGTGATCTTTTAATGAGGGTCTTGCTTGAACTACAGATTCTGTTTCGGCGTGCCGAGCTCTAGTAAACCTTCTTGAAGATAATCCAACAGAAGAGATGAAGGTGGTGGCGATTTGTGTGCTGCAAAATCTTGTAATGTATAACCGTGCCAACAAGCGAGCTGTTGCAGAAGCAGGTGGTGTGCAGGTTGTGCTGGACATTGTCAATTCCAGCCTACCTGATAAGTCAGTTCAGGCAACACTTTTTTGTGAAACTTCTGTTCTCTAATAAGTCAGTACAGGAATATTTCTTGTGCACGCTATGTGTGCATGTACAAAATTTGTAGAAAAAACAAAAACTAACCCATTTCCATTTGAAAATTAAAAAAATTAACAAAATTTGTAGAAAAAATAGAAATAATGGGAGCACATAATGGCTCAGTATAGATATGAAGCTACTTCACAACAATAGATATAATGGCTCAGTATAATTGAAGAAATGGGAGCACATGATGGTTTAGAATCAAATTCAACAGAAAAAAGTTAAGTCACGAAAACATATTCTCTTATAAGATAGACAGGGATGTACTTGGTGCATTTCATAACGCATGTACATTAAAGCATTAGTTATTATACACCAAAAAGAACAAAGATAATAGCAAAAAGAGACAAATTTTTTTAAGGAAAACTTGCATGCAGTTTAATAAACTACATAATTTCACCTTTAATAAAATAGTTAAGTGCAAAACAAAGTGGTCATAAAGAGCAAACATAATCAAAGTATTAGAAACTCAATACTCACTCACCAATCAAAAATATCATCAAAATCATGGTTTTGTATGTTGTCAGTAATCATATGGAGTATTTATCAGAAAACCAGTAAATATAGGTTCTGTAATTATCACATGATAAACAAGTTCACTTATCAATATTCCTGAAACGAGAATCAACTTGCAACCTTTTTTCTTAAAGGATCTGTAATAGTTTTGATTTCAATATCTTTTACTGTTACAGGCAGTGTCAGATTATATACTACTTCCTTCAGTTGATATACTTATACTTGAAAGTGTTTACAAACATGTTTTACATATAAAATTTATCGGGTCTACTCAGGGTACAAACGGGTAGGGTCAGGTCAATTGTGACCCAACTTGTATAAGCTTGACTTGAACATGACAATTTTAATAAACATGTCAAGATAGCAATTCATACCCGACCTGTACTTTAGATGGCTTAGCAGTATCTGACTCAAGTAACCCATTTAAACCCACTCCTAATGAACAACAGCACCAAAAAAATCTTGAACCATACTTCATTCACATGAATGACATTTCGTCGAGCTATTATGTCAAAGAAATGCAACCAGAGATGAACAAGAAAGATACAACTATCAACTCATCAACATGGAAGCACAAGTACAAATGTTATACTAAATTCAAGGAATTTCTAATAATGAAACAGAAAATAAAAAAGCTACTCATAGAGCCATATTCCTCTGATATTAACAATAGTCAAGAATGACTGCAGCAAGCACTATGATGGTTTATAGATTTTAAAACTGAATGTCAACAAGCAAAATGCGAGACATAGGACTCTCTTCATCTTTGTCTCTCACTCTCTCGTGTCAATAAGTTTGTTTGTGTCAGAGAATGAGAATTGCATTGGTTTTTTTAAATAGACTCATGGAACAATTATAACACAAAATCTAAATTAAATGCTGTTGGAAGGATGAGGACTTGAATGTGTCCACATGTGCAAGTGAAGGGTATTTTTGGAAGAACCATTGCCATTGTCCATCCCCTATCTCCAAGTCACCAATCTCCAAGTAATAAAAAAAACAGACTGCGGATTATTGAGAGAACAGTAAGATGATATGTGAACTCTATGGAGCAATTCAATATTTGGAAGCGTAGAAATCCACCAATCATGTAACATAATTTTTCAGATGCAATTTTGTGAATAACAGGCAGGGCAATGTTAGCTTTTAGAAAATTTTTTTTTACATGAAAACATCATTTATCTTATAGGCAAAAGGCTCTTGAAATCAAGGAGATAAAAAAAGAAGCCTATAGAGAAATCTTCATGACAGTATACTGTGATGGTGTAACTTTATATATTTTTTCTTAATTTATATAGTTAAAATAATTGTAATTTCAACAATAACTGTTCATCTCTTTCCCACTATTCCTAGGGACCTAAAACCTTAGTGTATCTCACTAACGGATGAAACATAAACAGAAATTGAATGGCATAAGGCGGTGGTATACAAAAACCTGACATTCTTCATTGAGTATCCATTGTATTATTCTTTGTTTGATCTGATACAATATCATTTTACATTATTTCAAAATTTTATACAGAATAGCCAACATGCTAAATTTATGGCCCTATTGAAATATTTCATATAAGATGAATCAACAATGCAAGGTAGCTTTGATGACCAAAAAAATAACATTTGATTGTAGGAAAGAAATCACAGCCTGAAAAATATAATAACTCAACTCTATCATTTGTGATTCTCCGATTCCAGAACCAAATCAGAGACAACCCAAATCACAACCGAAATCACAACCTGAAAAATAAAATAACTCAACTCTATCATTTGTGATTCTCCGATTCCAGAACCCAATCATGTAACATAATTTTTTCAGATGCAATTTTTGACATTATAACATCAATCATGTAACATATGAAAAGAGATAAAAAAGCAACATATGAAAGGAGATAAAAAAAGAAGCCTAAACCGAAATCTTCATGACATTATACTGTGATGGTGTAACTTTATATATTTTTTCTTAATTTATATAGTTAAAATACTTGTAAGTTCAACAATAACTGTTCATCTCAAATTGTTTGGTTGTCAAGTAAACAATAGTAAACAAGAAACATAGCTTGGCTAAAGGAAACAGTAGTAGTCTCAAATTGTTTGGTTGTCAAGTAATATTTTTCATTCAACATATGCAACTCTTATCATAACTGAAGATAATGAAAAGAGAAATGCAACCTTCTGCTGAAACCATTTATAATCTATTTGAAAAATTATAATCTATTTGAAGTTCTTCACCTAAAACATGCAATAATGAACGATTCTGAGCTATGAAAAGAGAAATGCAACCTTCTGCTAAAGCCATTTATATGTATGGTTCCCACAGTATCAATGTTAAAAATCTATTTGAAGTTCTTCACCAGAAACATGCAATAATGAACAATTCCAAGCTATACATTATGTAGGCTAACATCAGTCCTTGTCTCACAAGGAATAAATTATAGATCAAATGACGAATACATTCTTGCCCATGACATAACTCAGGAGGGAAAAAATCACTTGCTGTTTTAAGAGAGAAATAATGTTACCCCTTCTGAGATACATTAAGTTCATGGAGGACTCTAAAATAGTTGTTTTAAAGTCATGCTATTGTCTATAGACTCAATAACTCCAGAAATAGAGAAAAATACACTTGTGAGCAGGCCAAATGGACATAAAAGACAGTGAGTTATGCTGTAACATATGGAGTATTATGGGGTAAAAGATTTCCATATCACATAAATATGCATATTCACCTAATAGACATTAGAAGAAAAGCATTGCTAAAGAGAAGCAGTCAGAAAACTTCAAGTTATCAGATGCAAAACCACAACAGATATTGCGTTCTTTCTTTCACTTCCTTGCACATTCATCCAAGTAAATTATAGCAGGCAAACTAACTGTAGAAGCATATGCAAGAATCACAAGCTACTACATTGCAAGTTAAAATTACAGGAAGATAACATGATTGGTTGTAAATGAATCACAAGTTACTCCCTGTTCTACAATCTTCACAGGCTACAGTGAAATATATGTAAGAATATAAGAATTGTTACCTTGGACTAAAGGTGAACTTCTGCATGTCTATCTTTCCTTTCTTCAGATCATGTTGTGTAAATATATGTAATAAGAAACTTGCTAATATTGTTCATTTCTTGTCGCAGAAATTCAACTCGCACTTCAGGTGTAACAAAATCCTATATCTACTCAGCATATATTTCATCAAGATTCCATCCACAATACTTCAAGTATTATGGGGGAGGAGCTGGTAATTTAAGAACTATCAAACCCACAAGGTTTCTTCCATCCCCTGTTGCATTCACAGCGGACTCTTTGGAGTATGATTTTTGCGAGTGCACAAATCCGTTAGATGTCCGTGGTGATCTTGGAACAGAGATCAGTTACATAGATTATTTACGACATATATTACACGAATCTGCAAGAGTAATATCTGTTGGCTTAAAGAACCATGAGTAATCTAGAAACTACTCGAAACTTTCTAAAGCATGGGTAAGCGAGGATGTCGACTCATGGCATGCACCCGTAACGTATCAGGTAGAAATTCAAGCTAAATTAAAATAAAAGAAGATCCAACATGCTAAATTTATGGTCCTATTGAAATATTTCATATAAGATGAATCTATCTGATTCATCTTATCCTATTGAAAAATTTCAAATAATGGGTTCCAAGCTTACTGAGAGGATGGTAGTGGCAACTGAACTTCAGTTTGCAAATTTAGCTTAATTGCTCACATTTAGCTTAACTTAATTGCTCACATGTAGCTTGAATACTGAAAGAAAACACCAGATTCACAAGTTTGCAAATCATGTGTATCATTATTGCTTTTTTATCTAAATCTAAAAAATAAATATGATTCCTGGTTTTTTTATATAGAATATTATAAATGTTGAAAAGCGAGATGAACTGAGTGGATATGCTACTTGCTTATCACATCATCAAGTTTGGGATAAGTGGTTAGGGTTTAAAACATACAATAGAATAATTAAAAATTAAAGTCAACAATGCAAGGTAGCTTTGATGAGCAAAAAAAAAAAAAAAAAACAGTTGATTGTAGGAAAGAAATCAAAACCGAAATCATAACCTGAAAAATTAAATAACTCAACTATATCATTTGTGATTCTCCGATTCCAGAACCAAATCATAGACAACCCAAATCTTTCTCCTCTCCGATTCCAAACCAAATCAAGTTTATTACAAAACCATGATTATTGACAATTGATATGCACATGGCCACTTTACATATGATCAATAATTAAAAATTAAAAACAGGTTACAGGCAAATAAACTTGATTCAGCATCCTTTTAACATGAGACAATCTGCATCTTTTGTAAATTAAAGACTGTGAATCAAAACATGAGCGTATTGTAACAATAACTTCAGTAAAATTTGAATGAAAAGCAGGTATATAACAAGAAATCAAAACATGAGCGTATTGTAACAATAACTTCAGTAAAATTTGAATGAAAAGCAGGTATATAACAAGAAATACCTAATTTAGGAAAGAAATCACAACCCTTCAGTAAAATTTGAATGAAAAGCAGGTATATAACAAGAAATACCTAATTTAGGAAAGAAATCACAACCGATACAGCTATTGCTGGAATATTTAAACCCTTGTCGCTTGAAACTGTAGGAAATCGAAAATTAGGGCAAAATTAGAACAAAATTAAAGGACTGAAGAACTGAAAGGGGATAGGGTGAATTGAGCAAAACTAACGCTTAGAGTTAGGGTTTTGTATAGAGGAGTGAAGATGAAGAAAAAATACCTTCCTGAATGTCCAAATTCTAAAAATTGTGGAGATGAATTCGGAAATTTTGAAGAAATACTGAGCTTTGCAAATCTCTGTAACGCTTCAGCTTCGGCGGAGAAGGGTAACCGATGAATAATACTCATCTTTGCAAACGCTTCGGCTTCGTCGGAGAAGGTAAAACGGTGAACTCTTCGGCTTCAGCGGAGAGGAAGGCGTAACCGAGCTGGGAAATTTCCGATGTTGATGACGAATTTTCTGTAACGCTGGGAGAAATTAGGTAGATTTAAATTGGTTGAAGGTTAATTTGGGAAGGGGAAAGTTTTTCAGGAACTGGCTCTTTTAAAGGGTAGATAGATTATGTATGTTTGGTTTACCACTACATTAATAATAGTGTGTGTTGTTTTCTTTTATAAAATTAATATATTATTTATTGCATTAAAAATTAAGTTTTTTGAAAATTATAAATTATTAAAAAATACATATTATTTATTACATAATAAAAATTAAATTTTATAATTATAAATATATTAGTAAATATAATAAAGATTAAAATGTATAAAAAAATAAGAATAATAGGATGAATAAATATGGTGGGGTATATGGTTGAGTGATGTGGAGGAAAGATAAAGTGAAAAACTTTTGAAAAACTAGTTGTTGTGGAGTTAAAAGGCAATTGGAAAAGACAAGTGATGTGGAGAGAGAATAAAGTGAGGTGGAAGGAGAGAGAAATGCAATATTTACCTTGCCATTGGAGATGGTCTAATAACTAAAAAAACCCTTTGTCAAATTATCGGGTCCCACCACCAGCTCGACGCGCAAGGGAAGAGGGGATCCCTTCGCAGCTCTCCGCGCAACCCTCGCCTCACGCGGCCGCTTCTCTTCGGAAAAAAACCCCTGCAGGACGCTACTCTTCTCTCTTCTTCTTCCATAGAAAAATAGTCGAAAATTTATTTCAAACCCTAGACCTAAAAATGGCTCTTTTGGACGAGAGCAAGTTCGAGGTGCAGCTCAATCTCTTGGCTCTTCGGATCCCTCGTCATCTCTGCACCTCAGTCCTCCGTCTCCTCAACAACGGGTACTCTCTCGTTCATTCTTTCCATGTTAATTTTCATCTTGATTGGATTTACCGTAATTTTCCTTCCGAAAACTGTTAAAAAAACCAAGCGTACTTCGAAAGGTGAAATCTTTATCTTTCTTAACCACATCTAAGGCTCAAAGTTTGAATTACTCGCAGAAATTAGTTGAGAAGAAAGTTTTGTTTAGGTCAACTGTTTAGGGCTTGAATATTTCTGGAACTGCTGGCTTAAATTAATAATATGAAGCAATTATGAAATTTTCAAATGTAAGGCTGGGTGTGTAATGCCATATCGATCTCAATTTGGGAGATTTAACTTATTGATCGATTTATGGGAAAGAAAAAAAGTTGGTTGGATAGAATATTGGATAGTGGTTCCAGAACAAAAGATTAGGTAATGAAAACGACTGTGAGCTAATCTGTTAACTGATAAATGGTTATAGAACAAGTACATCATATTGTGCCTTATTTTTGATAATATGCAATGCCAGGCCATATTTTTTTCTCTGGCTCCTGCAGTGATCAGCATTGATAAGTATCCCTATCATCTTTTTCATGCCAGTTAAATTACAAGATACTTGTACTTAGCAATAATGATGATGACCCACAGAAGTTCATATAATTAATTTGATGAAACTTGATAATTTGCATCGGTGCTAGTTCCCCAGTAATGTTAATTTAGAAAAAAAAGCAAAGCATGAGTTATTTGCTATTGGCGCCTGTGCTAATTCACTCATAATGTACTCGACCAAAATCAAAACATGTCGGGCATGTGTAATAAATAGTGACAAGATTACTAAATATTTATACTAAACATTAGTCAGTATATTACAGATGAAATATCAGACAGTGGCTCAATTAAATATGCTAGTTGCATCAACAATAGTTCACCCATATGTATTCATTAGACCAAAACCAAAATGTATATGACTTGCTAATCAGATACATGCTATTCCACGCGTTGCTTTGACCAGATCAGTATGTGGGTTGCATCCACTCTTGTTTATCATATGTACCGTATGACCATAATTAAAATCTTTGGCATCTGTTCTAGATAGAAAGAATGCAATGACAAATCCGAAAATAAACTTATCAATTATAAGGCATACCTTCAGATTTAGGGGCGGCGAAAATACCCAAGAAAGCTCTTCCACCTTGTTTAGGTCCATATTACGTGTCAGGAACATGACAATGTTAGGCGTTATATCCTGAGCAGCTTGAAAGATTGAGTATCTGCATGCAACATGGTTTTAGTTCTTTGTAACTAATCTATAGGAAATTTCTCAGATTAATAAGAAATTAATTAAATAAATTTTAATGAATAAGTCAGCATTTCAGTGTACTATTAATCCACTAATGAATGAAATATTTTGTCTGATTGGAAGTACTAGTTACCAGTTAAGAAATTTGAACAGTAGCTTCTCTAGCAGGATCTGAAATCTGAAATAACCATTCTTGGGACGCTATATATGACATGCAATAATTCTTATATGTGCGGTAACTAATAATTTTTATATAATGATGCAATGATCTGCTGAAAACATATGTACAAACTAAATTGCTTATGATAGCATGCGTTCAACATAAACATGAGATATGGCACAAATTTCATGAAGTTACGAGGAATTGTCTATGTGAGTTTATGTTCCACATGTGCTCCATGATGAATGTTAATTCACCTAGGTTTAGTTGGTTGCAATGTTTGTATTCTATGTGAGGTTTGTGATACATGTGAAATCGGAATTCAAGCTGGACACCACCTCATTTTGTTTGTGAGGCCCATGATGTATGTGAATTCCTGATGTGTAACTTGATGCAAAGTTCTAGTGTACATGAGGTCCACGATGTATGTCTATTAGCCAAGTTTGAGTAAGGTGGTTCATGATAGACGCAGATTTCCTGAATTCGACTTAAATGGAAATTCTAGTTCAAGATAAATGTTTGAGTTCGAGATGAATGATAGTAGTGTCATACAATAATTTCACGATTTACGTTCTTCATGCTCATTGTCTGTACACAATGATACCAAATTTAATATGTACAAAGTCAATTGAAAGTTTAGGAATCAGTTTTATCAGATTGATTTTGAGCCAATAATCTTGGGCAATAACCTTTTACTACCTGCACTTATCATGAGGTTCAAAAATTTTCAAGGCTAGGGGATTTAAACCGATCCATCCAGGTCATAGTGTATGAACTCTGGACAAACTAAAGTTCTTCATTAGACATGAATTTGTTGAACCACTGTCATATAGAACTTGATACATGCATGAGCTCGAGATGGATGCGAGTTCATAGGAAAGCAGGTGGAAGCTTAAAAGCTATTGTGATCCATAGATTTGGAGTTTTGACATACTTTAATTTGGCATATTATGGTCTGTGAGTTCCGAAGTTGGATATGGCTTAAGGGCATTCAGGTTTATAGCATTTGAAATTGTTTCTTTACGTTTAAGGACATAATGGTCCATATAATTTGAAATTGTTTCTAGTTTAAGGAGATGTATTCATGGCATTTGAATATGATTTTTGGATTTAATTTTTGTTATCTCTATTGAAGTATGAAAACGATTCAGAGATATGAGCTTAGAAAAGTTAACTAAGTCATTCAACATGATACTTGGTACTTGGAAGATGCTCAACGAGCGAAGGTTCATTTTGGTATAGATATGCAAGAATGAAGAATATATAAACTTTTCCAAACAATCACGGAATCAAACAGCGACGGGAAGTCAATTGGAAGTTATATATATGTTTGATTAGCAATAGAAGGATAATTGAAGAGATCAACATTTGATTTAGAAAAAGCTTATGCACAATACATAAGGAGATAGTATGGTGGAATTTAGAAAATAAACAAGTATTTAGAATGTGTATTGATGTGATTGAATACATGTCTAATAGAATAATTATAATTTATGTTCTGGGGAAGTAAATGAGTGGAACAATTAGGTTTTATTACGTAAGAATTATCGTAAAGCTACTAGCAAGACATCCCTCCAAAATTGAGGTGTGTTTAAGAATGAATGGTGATGGAGCCAGGCTTCAGCTTTATGAAATCAGGTTGTGTGTTGCTATGACAATAGATCACAAAATTTCTAATATGGGAATAGAAGCGTAGGACAAAAGTATATATCTAATAAGAAACTTGGTGTTTGCAATTGATATACAACTGATTGCCATCATTCAATACTATCAAAATGGGCAAAATATAGAAGAATACATCACATCACAAAGTGACAAGCATACCCATCTTTTGACTTGAGCATATTGAGAGTAAAATTCAGAACTTTGCTATAAGATGAACCTCCCCATGGTTGCGAAAGCAAGGCGATATCACCCAATAGAAAATGGAAGGCACAAATAATAATAATAATATATCGTTCTTTTGTCAAACACCTTAGTTTTTCACTAGCTCACGTCTTGCTCAAAGTTTCAAGTATTCAACTTTTTCATAATTTAATTTGACTTTTATTTTAGCTTATGGTTTTAGCTATCAGATGCTATTTATTCTATCTTAACTTTTAATTATCTCATTTTATAGTACTTGTCTATCCTAGTAATAGCTATACCAATCTATATAACAAAAATAAATCCTTCATTCCAAAACTTTTGTTGTCTATGATTACTTAATTGTGTACTAAATAATGATAAATAAACAATTTAAAAAAGATTTTAAAAAAGGTACTTACCTTTAGGCATGCCACGAGCTGGAAAAAAATCCCCAATTACAAATCAATATAATTCTCCACCCCGTAAATCTTGGCATTATTAACCGCAAGCTCAACTCTTTTAGTATAAATTTTAATCGCAATCACGTGATATCTAAGAAAAAGCATCAATAACGGAAAAAAATAAATAGGCCTTATTTCTCAACTTGAAATTGAAGGGAACAGTAGAGAGTTGCAATATCTTACCTGGCGACGAGTTGTATGGCATTGCTGCTGACGCCAGACAAGCAGTCTATAACGAGTTACGAGTGAGTTAGCACCTATGAGGGACACGTGGGGAGTTACAATTGGCTTAGGGGTGATGGAGAACCAGGCCTCTTTGTTTAATTGGATGCTAACGTCATACTTGGAGAAGAGAGAGCGGTGCTGGAGATAGTATTTGGCAATGAGAGGATTGATGATGGTGGGAGTGGTTAGCGTTATATATAGGGGAATATTCTGTTGAATCTAACGGTTGGTGGCTAAATAACCATTTTACCCCTCTATAATGTTCTCTTACCCATTTCTTAATGAGTTTAAACCCAATACCCTCTTAAAAAAACTAAATCCACTTGAGTTTTTTTCTAGCGGTCATAAAAGAACCATAACCCATAGTTGAGTTTCACAAAGATTCGAAACATCACAGAGAGGGATAGTTTGGTAACTGCATATGTTGGGTTAGGAGATAACACATTTATGTTTGATTTTTTAACTGAAACACTAACAGATGGACTATTTTGCAGGACTATAAGATTTGAGGTGATAATATGGTGAAGACATAGTCTTCTTTTTTTTTCAAATAAAAACTCATTGGCGCCAAACGTGAGGGAATGCTAGACGTTTGGTAATTTTTCTTCTGACCAGAATGAAGATCCCATTGAAGCAGCTAATCCCATGCATATAGAGGGACTATTTTGCTAGACTATAAGATTTGAGGGAATAATATGTAATTATTAAATATTTAAGGAACTATATCTAGAAACCCCTTTCTTTTTTACAAGCTTTTTTAATCCTTTTAGAATTTTGCATAGATCAAAATTTTGATAAATTAATGTTAGTAAGTTATATCTTTGTCTTTTCCTAATGGCCTATTTTGGTTGGGGCTTATTATCTATATATCCTCGCATCTATAAATTCTCACTTTACCTTTTAAGTCTTTATATTTATTTATGCATTATGCTAAAATCATGATAATTCATTAGCTTACTCCTTCACTTAACATTTGTTAAACATTAACCAATATCTAATGTTGTCCCTGTATTCTATGTTCTCTAGAACTATTTGATTCTTGAC